GGGGGGGGGGGGGGGGGGGGGGGGGGGGGGGGGGGGGGGGGGGGGGGGGGGGGTTGGACGGTTCTCCACGAGAAAATTGAGACCCTGACACCGTGACAGCTAGTTTTTCGGCGACGGGCGCGTGGTCGAACCTGAGCGCTGTTTCAAAGGCCTTCATGCCACCGACGTGTCGCTCACAGGGAGCAGCAGCTATACACCCCAAAACACGATCCTACCTGAGTTGTTGTACTTGGTTTGGTTTTTAATTGAAAGGGTCGCGCGAATGTGACACCCAGATGATCCAGGCCCTGGCGATGGTGCGGGCTCCGTTACCGGTTTTCTTTTGGCTTTCTGCTGATGATTTGTCTCGTGCCGCCCGTGGAAATGAAAAGCTCGATGACATCCAATGGTTGAATTCTCCCCCGCGTCTCCCCCCTCGGCTTCCGAAACCCGGGGCAGTTCTTGCAGCAGGTCCTGTTCGCGATGCCGACGCCGGCGCTTTTGATCCACTTCGTCAGCCAGAAGAATTGAGCAAAAAGAAGATGAGACGTACGTGAAATGTCCTGACCGACTTAATGTTGGTTGGCTTCACCCTAGCTACATGTCACCAGGCTCCATTCTGGCGCGTTCGAAGCAAAGGCGGTGATGTTTCCCCACGCGCCTACTTGCTGCACGAGGAGACGGTGCTTGCTGCTGCTGCTGCTACTTGAATGGCGGCTGCTTTGACTCCGAGACGATGTGGGACAGGGGTTCGGTCTGATGGCTTTGGAAGCAACCTTGGGTGGGAAGGGACGCTGTGCCATCACACGAAGGACTGTCGTTCTTTTGAGTCAAGAGTGTTAGGTGGGGTCCACCGTTTGGGCGTAATCGCTGTTTCTAGCTTTTGGTGAGTAGCGAAAGCTAGAGGAAACGGATGCGCCTCTCAGCGCCTTTGCCCTTCCCGAGTGGTTTTTTTGCTTGGGGAGGGGGAGAGCTGGGGTGGTGTGCGTGACTGCGCGGGAGGAGAGTGGGGGACGATAGCGAGAGAAAACTCACTGTAGCAGTGGCGGCGGTTTCGTCTCCTTCCTCGTTTCTCGGCGCGCCCGGGCGGGTTGCTCTTTACCGTGGCTACTAGTACATCTTGTCAACTACTGTAGTCTCCCCCTTCGCGTGCGTTGCGGGTCGTTCCTGCTGCAATCCACGGATTGCTTTGTTGAGACTGTTGGAACACGCAGCAACAGGCCATGGTTCTGAGCAGCCATGTGAGTAGTAAATGTACCGCGTTAAGCATCAAAGAACTTGTTGCATGTTGGGCTGGGGATTGAATGGGAGGAGGCTGCTGCTGCGTCTGGTTTTGATGGCTTGAAGATGTTTGGAGAGAGTGGAGAAGAGGAGAGAGAAAAGTTCTGCGGTGGTCGATTGAGGTTACTTTGGTGCCTGGTGTGTAGGGCCCCTTCAACAAGGATTCGCAAGAGCGCTGCTGCTTCTTTCGTGGCGCAGGTGCGACATGCACTGGTGTACATATCATACGTGCGAGCTGAGCTGTTGCGGCGCTCGAATATGGAAGATGTTTTTTTAGTCGAATTCTGGAGTTGGTGAGCAGACAGAGAAGGGAGGTTCTCGCGCTGCTGTCCCGTGCCACCTGTCAGTTTGTGGTTTGCGGGTGGGCATGGTTTGGCATGGTTTTTGCGTAGCGTGCGTCGCGGGTTGGTTGCAGCAACGGATGTCGCCAAGAAAACGGAGATGGGGCACGTGGGTGTCCCATGCATTTCGATTTCATCGTTGTTCTTCGAAGAAAATATTAGTGGTATCCGCAAGACATTGTCTTTTTGCTACTTCGCTTGCCCTTTTTTTCTGCGTGTTGTGTGTTCTGGGTTGTGATAGAAGAGGGATGGGAAGATTACTCTACGTGATGATAGTGTTCCGGGCTGTGATAGAAGAGGGATGGGAAGATTACTCTACGTGATGATAGTGTTCCGGGCTGTGATAGAAGAGGGATGGGAAGATTACTCTACGTGATGATAGTGTTCCGGGCTGTGATAGAAGAGGGATGGGAAGATTACTCTACGTGATGATAGTGTTCCGGGCTGTGATAGAAGAGGCGTGGGAAGATTACTCTACGTGATGATAGACGTAGACGTAGACTAGAGGAGACATCTGAGGGGGCACAACTAGCCAGAAAGGCGGGCGGAATGGGCGGTCGATGACACGAGTGTTGCCGGATGTGTCGTTAGGGCTGCTGCTTGGATCGCGAGTCGTTCCTTCAGCGGCAGGCATGATATGCAGCGTGGCCGTGGCTCCTATTCCAACGGCTCTACAGCAGTGTAATCGTGGCAATCAATCGAACAAGTCCGTCGCGGATACACGTACATACTACAACACCCGTCTTGCGTGTCTCTTTTGTTTGTTTTTTTCTCACCTCATGGTAGTATATTGTTTTGTCAAAAGCCGCTAGTTAGGGTCGTGCTTGCCTGCCACACTGGGGGGTGAGGACGCGACACACCCAACATTGGAATCAATTGTTTAATTAAATGTAGCGCTAACTAGCGAAAGGCTCGACGGTTGTCACTTATGCTGCTGCGGCGGTGGCGACGGCCGTAGGGGGTGCGAGGGGGGNGGGGGGGGGGCAGTCCACCGTTGGTCGCGGAAAGTTTTGACTGCCCCGGGCAGTCAAACGTGAGTTGGTTGAATAATTTGATATTTCCTTCTTGTGCTCTTTTTTTCTTTTTTCGGTCTTTTGGCGGAGCGAGGGGGGGGCAGCCTTCTGGGGTTGAGTCGAATCGAATCCATCTTGTTCCGTCACGAAGAAGGTTGTTCGATTTGTTCTCTTTCCTCGCGTTGTTCGTTTGTTGCAGAGACAGACGGGGAAACATTTATTTTTCGAATAAATATTGTCAAAGGACAAGTGGAGTGAGAACAGAATTGAGTCAAGAATTGAGGCTGATCGGTGATGATGTCGCTGGTTCCACAAAGCGATGATGGTAGAAACACGATGCCAGAGAGGAAGACAAACTTGTGATCGTTTTGCTTTACTCGCAGTATGGAATTTTCTTGCTTTTTTTTTCCCGTTGTGCAAACGAACCCCTTTGAGAGCAGGGAAATACAAGAGACGGAACAAGCACCAGCTGAGTGAGATTGGTCGTGGTACAGCAGTGGTGATTCTTGCCGCAGATGGGAGACTCGGTCCTCTCACTTGTTTTGTCAATCGAGTAATTTGGGGACGGAGGAACGGCATTTCTAGATAAGTCGTTTCTTAAGAAACGGAGAAAATGATACGAATGAGTGAGCTGTGACGGGCTTCACGGAAAAGTACTCCAAAACGCCTGCCTACCTGCCTGCCTTGGAATGTCAATTGTGTTCTGTGGTGATATGTCTTTGTTGGCGCGTACGCATGTCAGTTCGAGCTGAAATTCGTTTTGATGCACCGTCGTTTTGTCGACGGTGTGGTTGTTTTCAGCGATTCAGAGGTGTCTTGTTGACGTTCGAAATATTCGCATATCGTTGCACGCATTGTTGTTTACTTGCGCGAGCGACCCCTTCCTGCCACAGCGCCAGCTACATTTTATGCCGTGCGTCCCTGTGTTGTCATCAAGCCTATGGCAACGTACACGTACGTTTTCGCTTCCCCCCCCTGCAATTGGTACTCGGTGGTGTGTTCGTAAGTCTGAGCAAAACTCGCCGCGCTGTTGAAGCCCTGGGGAGGGTCTTGCGCGTTGTGACGTTAGCCAGGGTTAGCCTTCCTGGCGGGAGAGGGATAGTGAGGTGGTGTGTGTCGGAGCGAGGGAAGTGTAGATTTGTTCGACGGCGGCCAGGTCAGAGTGAGATGAAGTGCGTGATAGAAAGATATAGTAGCTGTCGCTAAAACGAGCGACAGCTGATAGATGTAACTGTCGTCAGACGTGTGCGTCCGCGGGAGGTGGAAGAGACCCTTTCTTCTTCTTTTTCTCTTTGCAATTCACGTCATTGGTTACCCGCGACGGCGCTGAAGACGCCCATGTCCGTGTACTTGACCCTCGTACTCTGTGCTAACTCCCCAAGTCTAACCTCTTCCTGCAGCCTAGCCTTCATCGTCGGCGAATTTCCAAGGTTACCAATCCTGTCGAAACTCATGGGCTCTACCATGAGGTCCACAAGTCTCTTCGCCCTACTGAGACAGACGAAAGTAAGCCCCGTGCAGGCCTCCTTGGGCCCCAAGTCAATGACGGCCTTGGCTAAAGTCTGCCCCTGGGACTTGTGCATCGTAATTGCCCAGCAGAGCCTAAGGGGCAGCTGCGTCCTGACCTGCGTCCCCCCGTCCTGCCAGGTGGTGTCGACGGGAGAAATAGGGACACAACGTCTATACCTCTCCTGAGA